AAAAGTCACTAAAACACATTTGGTTATATAAAAAGTCAAGTCCCTTTTGTCACAAAAGGAACATGGAAACTTGTTATGCCGATGGTGTGGTTTCTTCCAGTTTCCAGACTGATGAGGGAGGGACAGAAAGGGGCGGGGGACAGGGGCGGGGGTGGGGCTGGCTTTTATTTTACCCTGCCTTCCCTATCAAATACTCTTTATTTATCAAGAGAATATCCACCTAAATCAAGGGGGATTTGCATGTCATTTTATTTTATTTATTTTTATTTTTTTGCTTTTTGGGTCATACCCAGCAATGCACAGGGTTTACTCCTGGCTCTGCACTCAGGAATCACTCCTGGTGGTGCTCAGGAGACCATATGGGATGCTGGGAATCGAACTCAGGTTGGCCGCGTGCAAGGCAAACGCCCTACCCGCTGTGCTATCGCTCCAGCCCCTGCATGTCATTTTAAATGTAATTTTAGGGGCTGGAGCAATAGCACAGCGGGTAGGGCGTTTGCCTTGCACGCAGCCAACATGGCTGACTCAGGTTCGATTCCCAGCATCCCATATGGTCCCCCGAGCACCGCCAGGAGTAATTCCTGAGTGCATGAGCCAGGAGTAAACCCTGAGCATCGCCGGGTGTGACCCAAAAAGTACATAAATAAATAAATGTAATTTTATTGGGGGAGGATTGGGCCACACACAGTAGTTCTTTGAGTCAGGTATGCAGTACCACAATTCCAACTGAGGTCTGCCATATCAAAGGTCAGTGCCTTACACTCACTCTGTACTATTTCTCCAGCCTCTCAGTCTAGTATCTGTTCTGCATTTAATAAGCAGCACACTGGCCAGAAAGAAATTTCCCTTGAGCCAGAGCAGTAGTACAGCAGGTAGGGCATTTGCCTTGCATGCTGCCAAACCAGGTTCAATCTCTGGTACTACATATGACCCCTGGGGCCCACCAGGAGAAATCCTTGACCTCAGAGCCAGAAGTAAGCTCTGAGCACCACCAGGTGTGGCCCCCAAACAAAAACAAAACAAAACAAAACAAGTGAGAGTACAGCGGGTAGGGCGTTTGCCTTGCACGTGGCTAACCCGGGTTCAATCCCCGGCATCCCATATGGTCCCCCGAACACTGACAGGAGTGATTCCTGAGTGCAGAGCCAGGAGTGACCCTTGAGTATCGCCGGGTGGGACCCAAAAAGCCAAAAAAAAAAAGTTTTCCTAGACAAGGGGGTGAATGCTTTATGTAAAGGCAGGGTGAATGCCATTGTTCTTATCAGCAACCAATTTTCAGAGAAAGTGCAATAATTATGGCCAATGGTGGCGCCTCAGTCCACAGGTGCTCACTTCTCAGTACTCACCACCAACCACAGTCATGTCCTCTCCCCTTCCCTTCCCTCTGCTGCAGCCTGACCGGGCTCTGCACACTTGGTTGCAGTGAACACCTGCACTACCAGGATGTAACCGCAGCACTAGGAGCTGTTCTCAGCCATGAGAAATGCCGGGATGGACTCACGGTCTCCTGCCTGCGGGCAAGTGCCATCACTGGGCCACACCCCTGGGCCCCCATTTTCCTTTTGATGTTAAAATTACCCTCAAAAACACATTAAAATCATTTTATTGCCCTTAGTTGACCTGTGAGATATCCTTTAAGCTGGCTCCTGTATTCTTGTTTTGGGACCACACCTGACTGTGTTCAGGGCATACTCCCGGCTCTATGCTCAGGAATCACTCCTGGTGGGAGTCAGGGTACCCCACGTAGTACCCAGGGTCAGATAGAACCTGGGCCAGCTGCGTGCAAGGCAACTAACCTACCTATTGTATTATCTCTCTGGCCCCTGATTCCTTTATCTTTTTTTTTTTTTTTTTTGCTTTTTGGGTCATACCCGGCGATGCACAGGGGTTAGTCCTGGCCCTGCACTCAGGAATTAGTCCTGGTGGTGCTCGGGGGACACTATGGGATGCTGGGAATCGAACCCGGGTCAGCCACGTGCAAGGCAAACGCCTTACCCACTGTGCTATCTCTCCAGCCCCACACCCCATTATTTTTTTTTTCCCCTTTATTTTATTTTATTTTTTTTAAAGTTGTAGATTTACAATTTTTTGTGCTTTGGTTTCAATTATACAATGATCAGATACCCATCCCTCCACCAGTGCCCATTTTCCACCACCATGGATAATATCCCTCCCACCCCCATCCCCCCATCCCCCCGTCTCTGTGGCAGGGCAATCCCCTGTGTTCTCTCTCTCCTTTTGACACCCCATTATTTTTATCCCCCCTTTCAACAAAGGACCAAACAGAGGATGCCCAATCCATACCCAGCCCTGCCATGGCTCCTGCGGCCAGCCTGCCTGTGCCGTCAGCCCCTACCCTCCAACCCATTCCACCTCTGCAGACAGATCTCAAGATGTCCCTGCAGCTCCGGGAAGTGTCTTGCTCTGCTGCCTTCAGAGGTGTTGGTTCTGGGGATGGACTTCCTTCCGAGTAAAAATGGATTGGATAGTTTTGACTATTCTCATCATATTGGTCAGGAGTTTTCATACTTTATTGGGGTATAAATGCCATACGCAGGAGGGTGTAACTTCAATGCGGTGTGATTTGTATTGAGTACAACCACTTTAGAGGGGACTTGTTAAGCTATGCCTGCTTCCCTGGGTATCCGAGGCACTGCATGGTGGAGGGAATCTCCTCCCTCCTAGCCAGGCACCCGTGTTTCTCCTTTCGCTGATGATTCATCTGGCCTGTTCTTGGTACTGAGGATCCCCCGCTAACCTAAGCACTTTGCATTCAGGCATAACAAAACCTACCTGGGCTTTCTCTTCCCCCTGAAAGTTCAACTGGGAAACGGAACTGAGACTCATCCAAGTGGCAAGTGTGCTCCTAGCCACTCCACAGTGTCCAATCACTGTGGAATGCCAGGCAGCTCCAGTTTGAATAACGCGGGTCCCACATCGCGGGAATACCCCCAGTTCCTGGTAAACTCGGGCAATTGGACACTGTGTTTCCAGGTTCTTTGGGTGCACAAAATTAGGATATTGGGGGCTACACCAACTCTTATTCAGGGCTTGCTCCTGGCTCTATGCTCAGAAATCACTCCTGGCACTGCTCAGGGGACTTGTTGCAGTGCTGGGGATTGAACCAGCGCAAACACATTGTTAAGACAGAAGTTAAGACAAGTATTGAACACCCAGAAATTTATTGCACACTCATGTGTTCAAATGGGTATTTCCTACTTAAGTGCATTAGTTCCCCCAACATCCTGTGGTATATTAGCATTTCATTTTCTTTTCCTCTGGCAGTCTTGGTACACTGTAACACCGAAATACTTCTTTATGTCTGTGTTTCAGAACCAAAGAAGTATTACCACTAATGCATGGAGTGAGGTGGAAGATGACATCTAGGAAAGGTTTTGTTTGGAATTCCTATGTCCCACATCTATTCCCTTGAGTCCTATGTTCAGAAGCCTCAGGGAATCATTCTTCGCTGTGTAATAACCCAGCTATGTTCCTAATTTTACCTAGAGCTAAATTCGGTTTCGATTTACTTTCCACTTTGGGCTTTCTTCCTTTCCTTTTTATTTTACTTTTTTTGGCCATGTGAAACTTTAGCGACTCAAAGTCAAAAGAAATCTCCTGCTTCTTCTTTCTCCTCCAGCTCTAGTGAGCAACCGTTTCTATCAAACTTCTAATACAGCCTTTACGCTTCTCACATAGCCTGGGACTCGATTCCAAAGCAACACATAAGTCACCTCGTCTCCTTTTTATAGCTACATTGTATCTCACTGTCCGGCTTTCAATCGAGTTCTTTAAACGGGCGTTTGGGTTCTTTTCCCAAAAGAACTGTGCCACTACCAGCGACACTTGTAACTTAATGACCCTCCCGAATTCTGTGGCTATTTGTAGAGGTATACCTGGGAAAGGTGAGGACTAGAAGCGAATCGCAAGCACGAAAGCACGCCTGGCCACCAGGAACCTGATCGGCGCGGGGGCCCCGGGCCGGCCCTGGCAGGGCGGTTCCCACGATCAGTGCGCTCCGCCCAGGTCGTTTCCGCTCCGTGGCGATTGGCTTTTCTGGGAATGATCTGCCCGTGCCCTTGCCCATCCTCCTCCAAATGCAAAGAGCTGGGTCTTTGCACTTGGGTTCCTGGAATGTCACGCTGAAAACACTTTCGATCTAGACCGGCCCGATCTCCCGGGACTATGCCACGACCCGTCCCCGCAACGGCCGAACCGCTCGGTGCGGGGGATAAAGGTGCGCTACGGCCAGTCTTCGGGCTGACCCCGCGGCTCTCAGGCCCCGTGCAAACGACACGGAACCTCGCCTGGAGTTCGAACCGCAGGACCTATTCTCCCGGGCTCCCTAAAACCCAGCAGGCTCGGGAGCCTTCCCTTCGTGCGGGGGCGGGGGGCCGGGGTCACCGGCCTGACTCCCACCCGCGAACGCCGGCCTCCTCGCCACGTCCCGGCCGGGAGTCGGCCGAGCGGCCCCCGACCCGGCCGCAGCCGCGCCCCCAACCCCGCCGCGGCACCTGGCCCCGCGGCGCGCGGAAGCATCCCGCCGCACGGCGAGCCGCACCCCAGCCGGCAGCCAATGACGCGCCGCCTTCGCGCGGATTCCTCCGCCGGGGCGCGCGCGCCGCCGCCGCCGCCGCCGCCGCAGGTGGCCCGAGCACGGGTCCGGCCGGCCCCGCCCCCGCGGCGCCCCCCGCCGCCCTTCCCGTGAGGCCCCGCGGCTGACCTCCGACCTCGCGGCCCCCTCCCCCGCGCTCCCCCGCCCGTCGCGGGCCGGCTGCGCTCCGGGGGCCGCGGGGCGTGCCACGGCCGCGCCGCTCCGCCCTCGGCGTGTGGAGCCTCCCCGGGCCGGGCGGCCGCGCGCGGCCTCGGCGGCGGCGGCGGCGGCGGCGGCGGCGGCGCCGGCCCCGCGGTGAGTGGGCCGGGGCGGCCATGGCGGGCGGGGCGGGGCGGCGGCGGCGGGCGGGGCGGGAGGGGGTGGGGCGGCGGCGCCTCGCTTCCTCCCTCAGCGCCATTTTGTGGCGGCGAGACCCGCAAATAAAGGGGAGCGCCGGGGCTGCGGCGGGCGGAGCGCGGCGGGCGGCCCGGGCCGGGCGAGCGGGCGGCGCGGCCTCGGCCTATGTGACTGGGCGGCGCCTGCGCGGCCCCGCTCGGGAGAGGTAGGTGCGGGCGGCGGGCGCGGGGCGCGGGGCGCGGGGCGCGGCGCGGGCAGGGCGCCCGCGGGCCCCGGCGCCGCCCGCCTCGGGCCGGCCTCCCGTTAAGCCGCGCCGGGGGGCGGCGGGGGGCGCGCGGGCGGCCCCGCCTCGTGCCCGGGGCTGTCGCGGCGGCGGCGGCGGCGGCGGCGGCCCCGGCCGGGTTCGAGGCCCCCCGAGCGGCGCGGCGCAGAGCGGACCCGGCGCGCGCGCTCGCTGCCAGGTTTGGTTTTTTGTTGTTTTTTTTTTCCGCCGATCGGGCGAGTTGGGTTGGAAAGAAAAGAAAGAATCTAAATAAACCCCCGCCCTCCCCGCAAAAGGAGAAAAAAAGTAAAACCCACCCCCAAACCCCTGGGCTCCCGGTGGAGACGGGTTGCCCCCTCCGCCCCGTGGGAACGCAAGAGCCGCTTTCGGGGGCGCCGGGAGCCGCCCGGCGAGTTTTGCTCGCGCCCCGTCGGGGCCATCCGTTGCGGGGGGACCGAGGCCAGCGGTCCCGGGGCCGGCCGGCCGGCCAGTTCCTCGAGTGCCCGCCCGGCCCGGCCCGGCCCGGATCGGAAGCAGATAAGCGGCGGCGGCCGGGCCGTCCCCGGGCTCCTCCGGGCGGAACTTCCTCGGCCCGCCGGGAGGGACGCGCCGACTCCCCGCGGCCGGTGTCCCCGCGCTCGGGCCCCCGCGCGCCGCCGTTTCCATTTTGAGTCATCCCGGCGCGCGGCCGGGGCCGCCGGGGGGTGCGGTGCCCGCGGCGTCGGGGCCCCGTGTCGGAGCTGGCGCCGTGTCTGTCTGTCGGTCTGTCTGTCTGTCTGTCTTGGGCCACTTGGCGGGGCTGGACTTCATGTAATGACATTGTTCCACGGTGCTCCGCGGCACCGAATTTCTGGCTTGGGGGGGCCCTGGGGAGCCCAGGATTCCAGCTAGACGGTATTTGGGGTTTCGTTGTTTTTTTTTTTTTAATTATTTCTTGGGGCTTCTAAAGATTCTCCACCGCTAAGCTCATCGGCCTGAGAACGGTTCCGCGTTCCGTCAGCAGTATGCCCGGTGCCCAGTGTGTGCGCCCGGCGGGAACGCGGTGCTGCATAGACTTGTTCACCGTTTGGAAATGCAGTCGGCGCGGTGTGCTGGTCCTCGTCCCGAAATGCACGTGCAAGCTGTCTTTCATTGGGACCCGAGCCAGAGTGCGGCGTGGGCGCAGCACAGGGCGCTCGGTGTGGCCTTGCAGGCGGCCCGGCAGGTTCGGGTCGGGGGACACCTCCCCCCGCCCCCAAGCATCTCCAGTTTTCCTAAGTGCAGGTTCAAGAGTAACCCCTCAGCACCCATGGGAGTGCCCCTCCGCCCCCCCCCCCAAAAGACAGAGTTGTCTTTTAAGTTGTATTTAGTATTTTTAAATGTTTTACTTATTTTGGTTTTGGGGCCACACCCAGCAGGACTCCGGTTACTCCTGACTCTGCGGTGCTCGGGAATTACGTTCATACACGTGTGGAGGGTGGTATTGAAGCAGGGTTGGCCGTATGCAAGGCAATTACCCTACCTGCTGTACTAGGTCTCTCTGGTCCCTGCGTGTATTTTACTTAAAATTCCCCCAGGGAGCCAGAGGTACAGCACTCCTGCAGGTCAGGTGCCTGTCTTGCACCGCAGCCAATCAGATTCCAGGCCCCACATGGGGGTCCTCCAAACACGGGAGTGTTATCTTTGAGCACAGAACCAGCAGCTCCCACCTGATTTAGCCCCAATACCTGACCTCCAGGAAAAGTAAAGTGAAAGCCCCTTGGTAAGTGCTTTCATCACACTTTGGCATTGAGGTCTGCAGCCCTCTGAGACAGGCAAAGTAGATTTCCTTTCGCTGGTTTCGAGACTGCAGAGGACTGAGTCTTGGTGGCCACCTGACTGAGTTATCAGAGGTGCTCTTCCAGTTTTATCTAGGGGGCAGGAGGAGAGAGGGCACAACGGGGAGGGTACTTGCCTTGCTTGCAACTGACCTCGCTTCGGGTCCCAGCACCTCATGATCCCCTGAGCATGGCCAGGTGTGGCCTCCCTCCTCGCAAAAGAACACCAGTTCCTACCTGGGGCCCTGTTCATTGAGCATGGACATTTGTATTTGTGTGACAAGTTGTTTCTTTCACACTTGGTTTATGGCTAGTTTCATCTAAGTACCTGTTTTCTTTCTGACATGACAAGAACTGGTGCTGTGTCTTTATTAGAGATACTGAGTTGCCTAATGTAGGATTACAAGGCGAAAGAGTTTTTATAGTGGGTAAAGCACTTGCTTGTACACAAGCAACCCAGGTTCGATCCCCAGCGCCACATACTACCCTCCAAGTAGGAGTGAGCCCTGAGCTCTGTCCAGTGTGGCACCCAAAAAAATAAATTTTTTTTTCTTTTTTTGGGTCACATCCAGCGATGCACAGGGGTTACTCCTGGCTCTGCACTCAGGAGTCACTCTTGGCGGTGCTCAGGGGACCACATAGGATGTTGGAAATCGAACTCAGGTCAGCCATGTGCAAGGCAAACGCCCTACCCACTGTACTGTCGCTCCAGCACCAAGGATTACAATTTTTAAATCATATTAGATTAATCATCTTTTCCCGTCCCTAGAAGGCAGCCAAGTTATTAATTTTGAGGGAGAGGGGCATACCCAGCAGTGCCCAGGGGTCACTCTTCCCAGTCTTGGGAACCAAATTAGGGTCAACCACATGTAAGGTAGTGCCTTACCTCTGTACTACTTCTACAGTGCCCTAAATTGTCCTTTGGGGAGCACACCCACAGTGCTCAGGTATCACTGGTGGGGCTCGGGGAACCATATGTGATGCTGGGGGTTGAGGCTGGTCAGACGTGTGCAAGGCAAATGCCCTACCCACTGTGCTATTGCTCCAGTCCCTAAATGGTCCATTTGCTGCAGTCTCTAGCTAGCAATCACAATTGAGGATTGGGGGTGTGGGAGGACTAATCTGAGAGGCTATGGGGGTTTTTTCCTAATCCCCAATTATTAACTAATAACTGCTTTAGCCTCACATCACCATCTCATGACTCATAATCATTTTCATTATCTGAAAAATGGGAACTATAACTTTGAAAGTTGTGATGATTAGATAAGTGACTCAGTGCTGGGTACATGTTCTTTTTTCCTTCAAGGTTCAGGATTCAACTCTGCTTGACTCCAGATGATGATATTTAAGTTACTCTCTTTTTCTAATGTGAGAGTAGGCTGTTAAAAGAAGCTGGACTGTCTGTTGTCTTTGTGAATTTAGAATTGGCTGAGGTTTATTGTGCTTGTCAGTTATGCTTAAAAATGCCTTTGGGAAGGCTAATAGATTTCTTAGTATATCCATGCAATGTAAAAATCAGCATTGTGAAACAGGGCCTACTGCTAGTGCTTTAAAATACTAAAGCCTGGCTGGATAGTCCAGTGGCTAGATCTTTTACTTTGCACACGCTGGCCCAGGTCTGCTCTCAGGCATGACTTACGGCATTCAGCACCACCAGGAGTGAGCCCTGAACACTAATGGGTGAGGCTCAGAAACACAAAAATTTTGGTAATCTGTTCTAATTTGTCTTTCATCAGACTAGTAACTCTGGCTTCTCGTGGATTCTCAAGGATCTACATGAAGGGGGGGTTCGTTCTAACTGCCTGTGATATCTAATAAATGAAATGACTGTAACCGAGATGACATGAAACATATGAAACCCATGCTTGCCCTTGACACGACAATTTTAGATTTTTGTTTGTTTTTTGGGCCGCATCCAGCAATGCTCAAGTTTAGGCCAGTTTACGTTTAGACCCTACCAACTATACTGTCTCTCCAACCCCTTAAATGTATTTCTATCGTGAAAATAGATACCCTGTAAGCCGTGTATAATTAAAATTTGTTTTCTGGGCCAGAAAGATAGACATCCGGTAAGACACTTTCCTTACAGCTGACCAAGTTTGATCTGCCAGTCCGGCCAGGGGTGATTCCTGAGCAGCACTGTGGAGTGTGTCCCCCAAAACCAAAACCAAAATCTGTCAAATTGTATCTTCATCAAACTGTTGGTGGGGGGTGGGGTTCAATGCAGCGACCTGAGAGTGCATGGTGGTTGGGCCCTGTTGTCACCCAGATTCCTGGGTCTGTACTATTGGTGCTGGGGACCTTCAGAGCTGTACCTGGTATGCTTGGGTGACCATGTGGTATCATGAATCGAACCTGGTTTTCTAGCAGGCACCCTAACAGCTGGACTATCTCTTAGCCCCTGTCTTCACCAGAATATTTATTTTGGTTTTGGGGCCACACCCAGCAGGGCTCAAGACTTATTTCCTGTCTGTGTTCAGGGGTCATTCTGGATGGGCTCTGGGCACCATATGTGAACCCCATTTGGTCACGTAGTAGGCTCAAGCCTACCCACTCTGGCCTCTTTGTTCTTTTTAAAATACAAAACTCTTTGGGTAAATATATAGTATAAATTAAAACACAAAGGTGTTAGCATATAAACTGGCATTCTATATTAAAATTTATGATGCTTCAGGATTTTTATATTTATTTATTGCCTTTTGGGTCACACCCAGTGATGCTCAGGGGTTACTCCTGGCTCTGCACTCAGGAATTGCTCCTGGCGGTGCTTGGGGGACCATATGGGATGCCGGGGATCGAACCTGGGTCGGCTGCATTCAAGGCAAACGCCCTACCCGCTGTGCTATCGCTCCAGCTCCCTTAAATTAGTTACCTATTTTGGCTTTTTTTGGGTCACGACCGGCAATGCACAGGGGTGACTCCTGGCTCTGCACTCAGGAATTATCCCTGGCGGTGCTCAGGGGACCATATGGGATGCCGGGAATCGAACCTGGGTTGGCCGCATGCAAGGAAAACGCCCTACCCGCTGTGCTATTGCACCAACCCCTCCCTTAAATTATTTTTTAATTGATTTTTTGGTTTTGTTTTGGGCCCACACCCGGCGATGCTCAGGGATTACTCCTGGACCATATCGGGTACTGGGATCAGGCACCCTGCCCACTGTGCTACAGTCCGCCCTCCCTTTTTCTTTAAATTTCATTCAACCAGCATGATTCAAAAAGTAATAGAACGCTGTGATTTACAAAGTTGTTCATAATTGAGTTTTAGAAAGTGTTCCCAGGTTCCCTCCTCTACCCTCCGCCACCCCGTCAGTTTTACAAGTAAAGTTGAGAGTAACGAGAGTACCTCCTAACTAGATGCCAGGCCGACCAAGTATGGCGGTCGGTGGAGATGTTTTCTGTTACTCATAGAACTCTGTAGTACCTGTATCCTCTAATTTTACTATGCGCGTGGTCATCATAATTTTGCAACTAAATTAGGTTGCCATTTTTAGTTCACTTATAATCTCATTAATAACTGAAACAGATGTACTTGTTCACACTTCACTCAGTGTCTTTGAGTGCCTGTTAAATACTGAGCTATTTACCGTGAATGAAACAGTTCTGGTGGGCTCTTTTATAGTTGGGAGAATCTGGATCAGTAAACAGAGTCAGATCAGAAACCCTATGAAGAAAAAATCAAGCCCTGTTTGAAGTGGGGGATAAGCAAAGGATGGAAAGAATTTTGCCAGGAGGTGAGAGATAATTCCTCGGCCCTCTTCACGATTTCCTGAGAACTCCGGAGAGTGCCCCTCAACTGCTGACGTGGCCCCCAAGTCCAGGAAAATAAAAGCAAGTCCAAAGTGAATTTAGCCAGTAGAATAAAATAGAAACAAAATCCCACAGCTAGTCTGTGAGTTTGGGTTTTGCTTGTGTGGGGTGGGGGAGGGTGCTGCTTGTATAAGCCCTTGCCAGTGCTCAGAGCTGACTGGTGTCTGCTCAGGAGTCACTTTTGGTAGTGCTCAGGGGACCAAATGGTGGTCAGGGTGTCCGGGATCAGATCTGGGTTGGCTGCACACAAGGCAAGGCATGCGTCTTGACCCTGTACGCTTTCTGGCCCAGCGTTTAGTTTTTTACTCTAGTCTAATTTAATTACAAAAATTTTTTAATCCAGCCCTATTACTAGTATTTTTTATTTAAGAATGTAAAAGTAGGGGCTGGAGCAATAGCACAGCGGGTAGGGCGTTTGCCTTGCACGCGGCTGACCCGGGTTCGATTCCCAGCATCCCGTATGGTCCCCCGAGCACCGCCAGGAGTAATTCCTGAGTGCATGAGCCGGAGTAACCCCTGAGCATTGCCAGGTGTGACCCAAAAAGTGAAAAAAAATGTAAAAATAGAGATAGTACAGTGGCAGGGTGCTTACCTTGCACTCAGCTGGCTCAGGTTTGATTCCCAGCACCACATACGGTCCCCAGAGCCCACCAGGAGTGATTTCTGAGCACTGCTGGGTGTGTCCAAATAGCAGAGTGTATAAAAACTTGGCTTGCAAGGGGCTGACCCTCAACTCATCCCCAGTACCACATATGGTCCCCTGAGCACAGAGCCAGGAGTAAGCCCGTAGCACTGCTAGCTGTGACCCCAAAACAAACAAAAGTGATATTTGCTGCATTTATGTGTGGGAATTCCAAGGAAAGACCAGACTTGGTTTTGTGTTCTTTGTATTTGGGCCACTTGTGCTGGTGCTGAGGGGACCATATGGGATGCCAGGGATCAAACCTGGGTTGGTCACATGCAAAGCAAGTGCCCTACCTGCCGTACTGTCCCTGTGGCTCCTAATTTCTGTCTTCTAAGAGGTTTCCAAGTAGTAGTGTGAGACCTTCATGGAGAGGAACATGGTGAGAATTTGCTTTCCACCTGGTTAGCATCATTGGTATCACAGTAGCATTGTCACGAAACAGCTGCCTATAATTTTGCCACAGAGATTATAAATTGGGCAGAGAGGGGCCTAACATAGGGACCCATTTAAAGACAAAAATAGAGCAAGAAACTTCAGGTCATAGAAATACGGTCTTGCCTTCATAGGTATTATTAGAGGAAAGAAGCCACTAATTTATAATACCCACTTAGGCTTTTTCTTTGCTGTGAAGTATATTGGTTTCTTCAACATGATGAACCTAGTCAGAAAACCTAGTCTGTAGCCTAGTCTGAAAATCAACACTTAAAAAGTCTGAGTAGGGGCCTGAGTGATGGTACATCGGGTAGGGCATTTGCCATGCATGCTGCCAACCCAGGTTTGATCCCCAGCATCCCATATGGTTCCCCTAGCACCGCGGGGTATGACCCAAAAAGGAAAAAAAAGTCTAAGTAGAGACTGAAGCAGTAGTACAGTGGGTATTGCATGTGGCTGACCTGGATCTATCCCTGGCATCCTGTCTGGTCCTCTGAGCACAGAACCATGAGTCAGACCTGAGCACCACAGCCCTGATGCCACCACCACTCCAAAACAAACAAAACCTGAGAATGTGAGAGTTGGGGTTTATACATAACGTGGTATTGGGAAAATGAATTGCCTTAAGAATTAGGACTAGTCCCTGCGGACACCCAGGGATTGAAAGGGGACCCGTGGATTTAAGCATGAACTCTAGCTCTGAGCTCAGTCCCCTGCACAAAGTTATATTTCAGTTTGTACTTGTTATTTGTAAACAATCTAAGTTTCTTGTTTATGTTTGGGGGGGCACTCTGGCATGCGGGGGGAGGGTGAGATTTGTGTGCTAGCAGTGAGGTGCTCAGGCAACCACGTGTGTGAGGAGTCAGGACCACACAGCATTAGGACCAGGAAGATAGCTGCAAAAGATGGAGGCCCTGAGTTTGGACCTTGACCTCCTGTGGGTCCCTCCATAGCACTTTATCTCAAGTGACCCTCGACTGAGCATTGCTGGGATTGGCCCAGCACCAGTGGCCAGGCTCCTGTTACAAAGACAAATCCAACCCAGATAATAAAAGTAGGTCTACATTTGAATTTGTTAGCTTTTTACAGCAGGACCGAGTGAAACTTACATAAAGTAGCTAATTTTGAGATAGATGATTCTGGTATGAAATAAAAGGTAGAGATAGTCTCTTTATTGCGTATATGTGTAACCCGCTAGTGGGCTGTTGTGACGGTGGTGGATTGTAGTCTGCCTTCGGGGAAGGTGTGTGACTGGTCTTGACTTAGGGGTTGCTTCGGCGAGAAAACCCGGGATAGGGCCTGAGTCTGTGACTCCAGCACAAAGCTGTCCATCCTGCTCTAAGGTTTGGTTTTTTGTTAGGATGTTGTCAGAATGCGATGAATTTTGTTTCTCAGTTCTGTATGGCGAATTAGAAAGATCAGCTTTTTTACAAGAGTTTTTTGTTTTGTCTTTCGGACCACACTTGGCACTGCTTCGGGGTGGGAGATGGTAACCCCTGGCTGGGTGCTGAGGTCACGCCCATCAGTGCTGGCGTGACCCTGCCATGCCTGGATCAAGCCAAAGCCCTCTCGTGAAGAATGCTTAGACAGTGAGCGTTCTCCATGCCAGCCCCTTCACAGGAGTCTTTTTAAAGCACGAGAACAGTACAGTAAGGTGGGGTCAGAGAGGAGATAGTCCGGTGGGAAAGGCTTTGCTGACTGACCCAGGTTGGAGCATGTACCAGTGCGGTTTCCTCGGTTTCCGAGAGAACAAGCAAAAGAGAAACTAGAGGGAGCATGAGGAACTAAGTAATACCTTTGCAACTTTTCTGTAAATCTACAAAACTAGACTCAAATAAAAGGTTTTTAGTGGGGAGACAGAGGCAGAGAGAGACAGAAAAAAAGAAAAGTTCCTGTCATAGGGGCAGGCTGGGAGGTGACAGGAGGGGACCTGGGGACACTGAGGCTGGGAAATGTACATTAGTGAGGCATGGGTACAGAACACTGTGAGTGAAACCTAATCATGAACAGCTTTATAGGGGTCTATAAATAAAATGAATAAAATAAATTTTTTAATGAAAGATTTACATTTAAAAGTAATGATCTAGTTATTTGGCCTTTACGGAGTTCATCAGTAAATTGATTGGGGGAGGGGGGGACCTGTGTATTATGTTTCTACTAAAATCTTAAAAAACCTGAGTCTCTTCTTACCTTTTTTTCCTAGGTTTCAAAATGACCAACGAGGAACCTCTTCCCAAAAAGGTAAGTTTTTCCCAACAGTTTCTAAGCTTTTGGGTACGAGGAAGTCACAGTTGAGTTGAATAACCCTGTATTTTATGCTTTTTTATGTGACTGTATAGAGTGCTAGACATTGCATTTTCTATACAGTATATTCTCAGGATTTATGCAGCTTCTGAAAAACTTACAATAAAGATAGCCTTATCATTGAGGGCATATAAAGGTTCTACTCTCACCCTTTAATTATTTCCTGCTACATTATTACAAATAATGCTATTACTACACACACTTGGCCTTGCACGTGGTTAACCTGGATTTGCTCCCTGGCACCATGTACTGCCCCGTGGCACTGCCAGAAGTAAGCCCTGAGCACCTCTGGGTTTAGTCCCCAGACAACAAAACAAAACATGCTCTCAGCAACCTAATAATGCTACTGACCTCCAGAGGAAGTAACAACTTAGTAACTTGGTTTCAGCTAGGAATTTGGTAACAGCTAGGAAAAGAGCATTTTAACTAGCAAATGTTTGGAGTTGGAGAGAAAATAGGAGGGTGAGACACTTCCCTTGCACACAGCTGGCCCTGGCTCGGTCTCCAGCACCCCGCTCAGTCTCCTGAGTACCTCCGGGTGTGTCTCAAACGAGTGAATAATTGAGATAATTCATGGGATAAAGAATTGCACTTTAGGGGCTGGAGTGATAGTATAGGTGGGAGGGAGTTGGCCTTGCACGCAGCCGACCTGGTCCCCAACATCCCATATCGTCCCCCAAGCACCGCCAGGAGCAGTTACTGAGCGCAGAGCAGGAGTAACCTCTGGTCATTGCTGGGTGTGAACAAAACAGACAAAAAGTTTTTTAAACGAGTTGCACTTACCTATTTGGGGGCATTGTGGGTTGGGCTTACTGCTGACTCTGCTCCATGAATCACTCCTTGTCGTCCTGGGGAACCGCTAAGGGGCACCAAGGTTCAAGCAGGGCCCAGCAGCATGCAAGGCAAGCACCACCTCCTATACCATCTCTGCTCCCAGAGATTGCATTTTAATAGTTGAGAATTACTGCTTTCTATTGCACTTTTACTATTTCCTAGTATAAAGAAATTATCTTTCAGCAAGTACTGTGCGACTTGCTAGTGTTATGTTAATTTTATACAAGAGATGTAACTCACCTTACTGTCTAATTAGGTATGAGGAAAACACTTCATATTTATCAATTCGCAAAGCAGGTTCAGCTAACTAGACTGGTCATAGCTCTTTAACCACCTTCCTGGACGGGGGCTGGCTCGGGGGGCTAGAACACGTGCTTCGTAAACAGGAGCCCCTGTTCGGTCCTGGGCACCACACAGTCCCCCAAACCCCTCTAGAAGCAGATCCTGAACTGCTAACCCCAACTCCCACTCACGCCCCCCCCCCCTCCGACCACACCCCACCCCCCTAAAAAAAAAAAATCTTAACACTGGAGCTATTGCTCCTGGCAGTGTATTGAAAAGAACCTAATAGAACGACATTAGCCAAAAAAAAAAAAAAAAAAAGGAACCCAATCTCAAAGGGACTTGTGTACTTTCATGAGTTGATTTTATACAGGATTGGTGAAATAGCAGTTACAGGAGAACTGTGGGTCTGGAGCCACAGTACCACAGGTCGAGCATTTGCCTTGCACGTGGCCAACTGGGTTTGATTCCTGGCACCCCATGTGGTCCCCCCCAAACACCCCCAGAGTGATTCCTGAGTACAGAGCCAGAAGTAACCTCTAAACATCTCCAGGTGTGGTCCCCCACCCTAAGAAAGAAAGAAAATTTACCTTCCTAGGATGTTGCGCAGTGTGCTACGGAGGTTCTGTGTATACCTTTCATACGACCTCCTTCAGTGTTAAAATTTGGCATCGTTTTCAGGAACTCTTAGAATAGTCAATAACTGTCATTGGCAGAGTCCACAAATTTATGCTTTACTGGCTATGCATGCAAGTGTGTAGATGTATAGCTGCATGTGGGGTTTTTGGGAGTGGGTTTTTTTTGTTTTTTTTGTTTTTTTTTTTTTTGCTTTTGGCTTTTGTCAGGGCTTACTCCTGGCGGTGCTTGGGGGACCATATGGGATGGTGGCGATTGAACTCGGGTCAGTTGAGTGCAAGGCAAATGCCCTACCCACTGTACTATCCCTCTGGCGCCATCTCCATGTGGGTTTATCTTTTGTGAAGGTATGTGTAACTACCAATAGTTAACCATAGTCATACATTTTTCCTTGTCTTCTTTTTTTGTTTGGTTTGGTTTTCTGGTTCTTTTGGCAATGCTCGGGGGTTAGTTCCTCCTGGCTCTGCACTCGGGTATTACTCCTTGGGGGACTGTATGGGATGCTGGGGGTCAAACCTGGGTCAGGTGCGTAGAAGGCAAGTGCTCTCTCCTCTGTATCATCATTCCAGACCCAGTTCTGCGTTCCTATAATTGTTGTTTCACCGTTATATAAATCAACTGTGAAAGTACCTGAGTTCCTTTTAGATTGGGACTGTTTTTACTATTGCCATTTCTGTTAGTTTTTTTTTTTTTTATAATATTGCATAGAGCCGGAGTCAGTATTTTCTACTATGGTATGGACACAACCTGATTATGGCCATTCATTCATGTTGAATAGTGTTGGAGTAGTTTCCAGTTTGCATAAAAGTATTGTGAAAATAGATTTGTGTTTCTTTGGAATGCAGCTGCTCTCTTTGACAGCACAGTGTGATTTCCTCGAGTAGCTGTACTAGTTTGTATTTTCATCTGTCATGTGTACAGGTTCAGTACCCCGGCTCTTTACAGCATTTTCTGTTGCCAGCATTTTAATTTATAGACATTCTAATAGGTTTGTGGTGATATTTCATTGAGATTCTGGGGGCGGGGGTTAGGTCTGGCTGGGTTCGGGCCTTAATCCTGACTCAGCATTCCTGGCGGTTCTTGGGAGACCATCTGGGGTACTGGGGATAAAACTCAGCTTGGTTGCATTCAAAACAAATGCCCTTCCTGCTGTGGTGTTGATCCAGTTTATTGCGTTTTTTGAGTTTATTGAGATTTTAATTTGCATATCCCCAATAGTGATACACATTTTTCAGGACTGGAGTGATAGTACAGCAACTAAGCTCTTGGCCTTTTACAAGGCTGACTGGGGTTCCAAGTCTCCCACCCCAGATGGTTCCCTGAGCATTGCCAGGTGTGGCCCAAAAAAACAGCAACAGCAACAAAAAACCCAGTTTAAAAATTAGGTTCAAAATTTTGGAAGTACATCCCAAGAAAGCAAAAAATTCTTTTAAACCATCACAAATCACACAAATCACAAATCATCCTGTTAATTGTCGATTGCCTCGAGCAGGCCCCAGTAACGTCTCCTTCATCCTAGCCCTGAGATTATATTCAAGGCTCTTTAGGAGAATGAGACCCATCGTTATTACTGGTATTTGGCATATTGGGTACGCCACGGGGAGTTTGCCAGACTCTGCCATGTGGGCAGGCTACATTCGGTAGCCTGCCAGTTTGTCCAAAGTAGGAATGAGATAATAGGATGTCATAATAGGTTCCGGGAGCTGGTTTTTTTAGTCTTTTAAACCATATGTGGGTCCAAAAGAACAGCGGGCAGGGTGCTTACCTTGCATCTGGACGACCCAGTTCAATATCCAATACTGTCTGGTCCCCGAGCATAGCTGGGTCTGACCCCAAAAAACCAAGCATTCAAACTCACATGAATGGGCTGGAGATACAGCATAATAGGTAACGCACTTGCCTTGAGTGCAGCTGCTCTGGGTTTACTCCCCAGCACCACGTATGTCCTTTGAGCACAGCCATAGGAGTGGGCCCTGATGGGTACAACTGGATATAGCCCATCACCACCCAACAACAGTAACCACCCCAAGTGATAGGTCCTGGGCCAGAGAGAGAACACGGTATATGTTTGGATGCAGTTGACCTGGATTCAGTACCCTGCATCACGTGATCCCATGAGCACAGCCATTGTGGCCCAGTAAACAACCACATACTAGAGTGAAATTCTCAGACTGGAAAGAGTTCGTGTCTCAGTAAGAAGTTCCTTTTGGGAGGGGCCTTCTATGACTTGAGTAATAAGGAAATTCCTGAAACAGCCTAGCAATTAAGGCATTTAAAAATACAGTCCGAGGACTGGAGAGATAGTACAGTTGACAAGGTTCCTGTCTCGCACACAGCCAACTGACTTTAATCCCTGGTACCCCATTATTATCCTCCAAGACCAGGCAGGAGTGATCCCAGCAGAGCCCAGAGTAAGACTTGAGCACCACTGACTATGACCCAGAAACCAAAGAGAAAAAACAAGCTGTTATCCTGTGATGATGAAACTGTGAAGGAGGACATAAACGCTGGTGGTCTTTAACATTTGAAGCTTTTTTCTGTGAGACCCCATGGTGCTCACAGAGCCATGTGTGCAGAGTGCCGGGAGCTGAGACCTCCACGTGCAGAGCATGTGCTGCAGCTTCTAATGTTCTACTTGTGTGTGGGCAGGGGAGGGATGCTCTGGGACCACACCTAGCAGTGCTCGGGGCTTCCTCCCAACGCCCACATGGTGCCTGGGGAGCACACACGGTGTTGGGGATAGAATCAGAGTTGGCCGCAGGCAAGTAACTCCTGTACGAGCCCTCGAGCCCGGTCTTTTGGGTTGGGGGCCAGGTACGCTTGAGACTTATTCCTGGCTCTGCACTCCGATCATTCCTGGGGGGTCTTTAGGGACCAGATGGGATTCCATGGATTGCACCCAGGTTGGATACGTGTTAGGCAAATGCCCTATCCGCTGTACTGTCTCTCAAGCCCCTCAATGTTTGGATTGTTTAAGATGAATACTTAGTTTTGTATTTTAATTCTTTATAGGTTCGACTGAGTGAAACGGACTTCAAAGTAATGGCACGAGATGAGTTAATTCTAAGGTATAGTGTTGTTTCATTAAAAATATAAATACCTTCCTAGTGAACATTATACTGTGCTTCTGTAGCAGTGATTGTTACATAAAATGGGGGTGGGAAACCCCACGTGCTGCTAAGGGACAAATTGCTTAGGCAGTCGGGGCTGTCATGCTCTGGCATGGAGGGAGTCACCTAGGCTACCAGTGGTGTTTGGGGGCCTCTAAGGTCACCACAGTGGATGTTCGGGGAGCTCGGTGGAGTCCAGGGATTGGACGGGGCTGGCCATGTGCAGAGTGTCGGCCGCAGTCCCGTACTATCTCACCAGCACTCCATCCTGCTTCAATGCTGCTGCATCCTCAAGTCATCTTGTACTTCCTCAACGTGTTTCCTCCGGCTGTTCACTATATTTGAATACTGGACGGCATAGCGCGGTACAGAACTACAGCATTTGCTTGGGTAACTTCTAGATTGACAGGTAACCTGAATTGATCCTTGCAGAGGTAAGATGTGGCAGCTATTTTTTAGGGTTTTGGCCCACTGCCTGCAACAAACGAAAGCCGACCTCCAGGTGGGAACAGGTTCACTCCCAGAGGTGTTCAGGTCCCTGCGGTGCCAGAGTGAGCTGCAGCCCTTTAAGCATCTCCCCACCCAATACTGCCCACTTCCGCTTGAAGAACCTTGTTATCAAGGTGAAAGCCCTTGTACGATGTGTGATTCACTGCGATTGCTTTCCCCTTTTGTGCTCAGTCTGAAGTTTCTATCTGAGAGGTGTGCATCCAGTTGGGAAAGTGCTTCCTGTTGGATTTCGGACCACCCTGGTGGTGCTCGGGTGGCACTCCTGGCTGTGGTGCCTTAGAGTCGCAGCATGAGGTATGGGTGTCAGGAGTAAACCCAGACCTCCCACATGCAGAGCATTTGCATTTGCTTTTATTTTTTGTTGGGAGAGGGGTGGGTGCGTGGGCACCTGGCTCTGCTCAAGTTGGGACCCAGTGCTCAGGGCCCGTATTCTTGCTGTGATCAGAACCAGGTTGTAGGTGCAGCCACGTGCTAGATCCAGTGCCCCCCCCCCTTTTTGTCCCCCTTTTTGGCTCATACCCGGCGATGCACTCAGGAATCACTCCTGGTGGTGCTCAGGGGGACCATGTGGGATGCTGGGAATCGAACCCGGGTCGGCCACGTGCAAGGCAAACGCCCTACATGCTGTGCTATCACTTTGTTCTGTGTCTCCTGTCTGGCAGACTTTGGAGCTGTTCTCTTTCCTCTTCCCACCCCCCCGCCACCCCCCGCCCAATAACCCCCGATGAAAATACATGATCAAGTCAAGCTCTTCATGTAACTTGTGACCAAGGGTTAACTTCGTATTAGAAAAATTCTGTTAATTATGTTGTAATAAACCTGAAGGCGATCTATGGATGCAAGGTTTCCGGGTTACAAAGAGGTTTTCGTAAATTAAAGTGGGGGGGGGGGAGTGCAGAGTGATAGTACAGTGGTTAGGGAATTTACATTTGGTCCCTGGCATCCCATATGGTTCCCTGAGCACAGAGCCAGGAGTAAATCCTGAGAACCACTGGGTATGACCCAAAATCAAAACAATGAAATTAAATTTTGATTAGCTATCATTGAATAGTAGCTTGAAGACACAGCTTCAGGTAGCAGACCTTCAGGGCAGGTTACAACTCCATTAGCGTTTGCTTTAAATACAACACTAGGAAAAGTACCTGCAGTCAGAAGTACTAAAGAAGCTTCTATTTTGAGGTTAGAGAAATATAATTGGATAAAAAGGTCTTCTGGCTTGTTTCAGCGATACAGAGATGTTCTTAAGGGCCAGGAGTGTCGTCCAGTGGTAAAGTGCTTCTGAATTTCTTCATGTGGCCCTGGGTTCCGTCCCAGCTCAGCATACACGGAGACACAGATAAGGTGCTGTATGCCATCCAGCACCCTCAATGGTCGCCTAAACACTGCCAGGAGTATTCACTGAGCAGAGCCAGGAAAATAAACCCTGAGCACTACTGAGTGAGGTCCCAAAACTCCCCGCACAGATAATGGGCTTTAAAACATCAAAAGGCATTTTCCTGTTTCTGAGAGGCATTTTCACCTAAGAACCAAGATAACAAATAATCAGCGACATTTTTACCTAACCTTTGTTACTGTGTTTAGCGCATCTCAGAATAGTCAAGTTGTCTTGTTTGACTTTGGGGGGGCTACACCTAGCTCTTCAATCAGGAATTAGTCGTGGTGCTCAGGTTATCGAACCTGGGTCAGCTGTGTGCAAAGAAAGCACCTTGGACGCTGTATTATCACTCCAGCCTCTAATAGTTTATTTATGTTGTGCTGAACATCAGTGATGGAAAATCCTGTGTAGTATGTGATTTGACCCCGGGGGCGTGGGGAGAGGGGACACACTTGACAGATTCCTAGCCAAGAAAATTTCCTCTTTGTTTTCTTGCACCAAGTTCCTATACATTTACGTTTTTCTTTGTTTTGTTTTTGGGCCAAACCCAGCTGTGCTCAGGGCTTACTCCTGGTTCTGAGATCAAGAGTCACTCCTGGTGATGTTTGGTGGACAGAAAAGTGGTCAGCCACCTGCAAGGCAAATTTCCTTAATCCCTGTACTATTTCTCCCAGTTTCCTACTTGGAGATGGGGGTTTGGCCACACCCTGCGATGCACAGGGCTTGTTCCTGGCTCTGCACTCAGGAATCACTCCTGGCAGTGCTAGGGGAACTATGTGGGGTATGGGGGGATGAAACTCAGCTATGTGCAAGCCAAGTGCCTTACTCGCTGTACTCTCCAGCCCCCAGATCCCTATAAATGAAAAAGGCGTCATGAAGCGACAGGTTTGTCATTTGTTAGACTTGGTTCACGGGGCTTGGTGTGCAGCTCAGACTAGACCTCTACTTTTATTGCGCGTGAGCCTTGGGCTTGGGCTCACCGGATACCACAAATCAGGAATTGGTTTAAATTGTAAATTTGGTTGAAAGTGTAAAGTGGAAGAAAGCTTTGAAGTCATCCAGTGGGGATTGTAGGTGTTACACTTACAAGTTAAGCGTGTGGGTTTCTTTTTCCAGTGTGATTTAATAAAAGCAATTTTAGCGCTATCACTAACAACGGATTTCTTTTTGTGCTAGGTGGAAGCAGTATGAAGCGTATGTGCAAGCTTTGGAGGGCAAGTACACAGATCTTAATTGTGAGTTTGCTTTTGAACTTTCTAAAGTCTTTCTGCATCTGCTTTTATGTAATCATGGTCTACTTGATTACTAAGCAAATGTAATACGTACCCAGGTGTTTTTATTTAAAAATGTGTCCAGCATTGTATTGTATGCCAGGGACCAGAGGAATGAGCGCTGGTCTCCGTTCTTGAGGATTTACCAGTCATTGCGGAGGGCTGACCACAGTGATTAATAATGGCGTGCCCGTTTTTTATGGGATCATTGTAGTGTTTTGGGAGAGCGGAGAGGGAAACCCAGGCCGACGTGAAACTTCTTTGATCTGTCTCTAACCCCTTCCATAGAGTAACTTGAACGGAATATTGTTCTGGAAGGGGAGCGACGTAGAAGGACTCGGTGATATCTTTCTAAAACTTCGAATACTTAAAAGTTTCCTCAAAAAATGTGCTAAAAGCATCAGTCTATGAAACTTTTCAAATTCTTGTCATTGTCACTGAGTTAGAACAGCATACCGTTTGTGGGTGAAAAGCCAGTGTTGGGTTGGGGCCACAGCACTGCAGGTAGGAAGCTTGCCTTGCGCGTGGCTGACCTGGGCTTAGTCTCCAGCGCCTCCTGTTCTCAGTCCCACCAGGAGTCGCCTCTGAGCAGAGCCAGGCGCAAGCCCTGAGCACTGCCGGGTGCGGCTCCCAAACAAAATGAATATTGTCCAAATCCAGAAAGATTCACCACCGTGGAATTTTAGTAGTTGTTTAAAATAGTATGCATTATTAGAAGAACTTAACAGTGATCTTCCATGGCATGTTTCTGTCATGTCATTCCTGGCATGTTTCTGTCAGCTGGGTCAAGGACGCTCCTAAGCAGAACAGAACGTCGTGTATTATGTAAACAGATGCTAATAATGAAGGTTCCTGTGTTCTGTTGGCAACAGAGAGGTCACAGGACCATAATTCCATCTGGTCTGCGGTTGTGACTCCCACAGCCTCCTCGAGAGCACAGGCTGAAGGCAGTTGACTGATTAACCCAGTTCCATACTCAGCACTGAGCTAAGAGTTTACCTATCCCAAAGTCATCACTGGACATCTTCCAAAAACCAAAACAATAACAAAAGCACTTAATAGGAACAAATTTTCTTGTTAGAAAGAGGTCAGGAAAGACACTAACCTCTGAAGTTTTGTGTCGGCTTTTGTTACACTTGATGAAAGCAATCAGATCATTGCTAGTGCAGTTGGAGCTTGAAATTTATATTTACTCAACTGTGGTATATGTACACAATGGAATACTACTTGGCCATAAGAAAGGATGAAGTCATGCAGTTTGCTGCCACATGGGACCTGGAGAGTATCCTGCTGAGTGACGTTAGTTCGAGGGAGACACAAAATATCTCTCTCTCTTATGTGGGAGACACAGAAACATAATGTGGAACAACAAATTCCCAAAGACAGTGGAAACAGCATAAAAACAGTCTTCAGTGGGAAGCATACCACTTGAGGAAGCAGGGTTGGGGGGTGCTGAAAGGTGAAAATGTTACGTATAAAGCCCTGTATGCAACAGCACTGTAAACCACAGTGCAAACACACACACACACACACACACACACACACACACACATACACATAATCTCTCATCTCTGATAGAAGCAGACTGGTGCAAACACACACACACACAGTCTCTCTGATAGAAGCACACTGGGGGTTGAGTGGTGTGGGGGAGGCAGATGGGGATGGGGTGCCATCGGTGGAGGGAAGTGGGCATGGTGAAGGGGTCTGTGTTGAAACAATGAATGCTTGACCCAATCCTGTAATTTCACTGACTGAATACATTTTTTAAAATTGTATTTCCTAATGTTTGGTTTTTTTTTTTTTTCCCTTGTAAATCAGCTAATGATGTAACTGGCTTAAGGGAATCTGAAGAAAAACTAAAGCAACAACAGCAAGAGTCTGCTCGCAGAGAAAACATCCTTGTAATGCGACTAGCAACCAAGGAACAAGAGATGCAAGAGTGTACTGTAAGTATTTCACTTGTTTACAGTTTTTGAGACTTAATTGCTTGTAAGAGTTCACATTATCGTGTTAGTATAAGCTGAGTTTTATATACTTAATACTAAATATAAGGGGGCTGGAGCAACAGCACAGTGGATAGGGTATTTACCTTGTACGTGGCTGACCCGGGTTCGATTCCCAGCATCCCATATGGTCCCCCGAGCGCCACCAGGAGTAATTGCTGAGTGCAAGACCAGGAGTATCCCTGTGCATCACTGGGTGTGACCCAAAAAGCAAAAAACATATACATCTATACACACACACACTGAATATAAGTACACAATTTGTTATGACATGCTTTGAGCTGAAAGCTCACTAATGTAAAATTTAGGTTGATAGTCTTAAAATTTTTTAATAAGAAGCCATGACACTACTGGGATGGCTAAATGACTTCGTCTGTGTTGCTTAGGATCTGTGTAACTACTGAAGAGATCAGAAGTGGCATGATAACAAGGGTGACATGTTCAAGGGATCACCCTCCCCCCCTCCAAAAAAAGCAAACATGGAAAGAAGTGGCATGGCAACAGTAGAAGAAAACCCATGTGCCAGCCTGTCTCATTTTCTTGGGGGGGGGCACACCTGGCAGTGCTCAGGGATTTTATCCATTTCTGTATTTGGGGCCACTGCTGCTGGTGGTGTTTAGGGGACTGTAAGTTGGGGACAAACCGGGACAAACCCTGACCTCCCATGTACCAAGTCTGCTGAACCTGTTGAACTGACGCCAGACCAGAGCAGCCTTTTGGAGATGATTCCCACGCAGACACTTATGCTGGAAAAGTGAAGGTTGAAGCTCCCGGCCACATTCTGCTACTTGTCGAGCTGATCAGAAATGGCCAAAATCCTCACGGCTTCCCTACTCAGTGATGGCTACATAAGTTCTGTTGAAGAAAAAGGTGACTTTCTTTTTTTTTAATTTTTATTAGTGAGACACCATGAGGCACAGTGGTAGACTTACAAATTTTTGTGCTTGGGTTTCAATTATATAATGATCAAGTACCCATCCCGCCACCAGTGCCCATTTCCCACCACCACGGATCCCAGTGTCCCTCCCACCCCCCATCCCACCTTGCCTCTGTGGCAGGGCATTCCCTTTTGTTCTCTCTCTAAAAGGTGACATTTTGATTGCTGAATTGGATCACAAAGGTCCTGCTGTTGGAGTTAATCCCAGAGTCTTGTGGGTGTGTTTTTTTTTTGTAATTTGTTTTTATGAACCGGTGGTGCTTAGGGTTTTCTCCTGACTCTGCGCTCAGGAATCACTCCTGGCGGCGCTCAGGAGACCATACGAGAAGCTGGGGGTCGAACCTGAGTCAGCCACGTGCCGGGCAGGCGCCCTCCAGCCCCCAGAGTCTTGTTTAAAGCTTGTCAGAAAGTATCCAGTGTCCCTCTCTAATCTTCCTTACAAAGAAGGAGAGACCAAGGTCACGTTTTTAATATTTGGTTTTGGTGTTGTTTGGGCCACACCGGCGGGGTTACTCCTGGCTCTGTCCTCAGGATCACTCCTACAGGGCTCAGGGACCATATGGGACACCAGAGATTGAACCCAGGTCTGCCACAGGCAAGGCAAGTGCCTTACTCTCTGTCTCTGTCCTGTGAAGTTCTTAAGATTTATAAGATTTAGTGAATTGCTCGTAGGCTTGTTTCAGTAGCTTGATTGCTGAGGAAGTATTTTCTTACTGTGTAATTTGCACTGCCTCAGCCGGTTGTTTGACCCATTTATCTTGTCCTCGCTTTTTGTGCATGGTGGTGGCATAGGGAATGAACACAGGTCCTCCTAAATGTAAAGGATGTGCTCTGTCAGTCAGTCCCTAGCTCTGGAGCTGGTGTTCTTACCCGCTTCGCATCAAGCTCTCTAGTATTAGAGTCCTGCCCCTCCCCCTCCCGCACCATTTCTGGCCGTTCTCTTTGACACTGTTACTCTGGTGCTGCCCCGTCAAGTCTGGGCCTCTTTGCGCACGCAGAGCGTGCACTCGGCCTTTTGAGCTTTCTCGCTCATCCTTTGAGTCTTTGTCTTGACGTTCTAGTCCGGGTACTGCTTAGCGTACACTGGGTTCTTCGGTATTTTGGTTGGTTTGGTTTGGTTTTGGGGCCACACCTAGCACTACTCAGGGCTTTATTCCTTTATTTGTGTTTTGTTCGGGGGCCACACTTAGAAATGCTCAGGGGTTACTCCTGGCTCTGTGCTCCGGAATTACTCCTGGGGGCGCTTGGGGGACCATGTGTGATGCGGGGATGAAACCTGGGACGGCTGTGTACAAGACAAACACCCTGCCCCTCTTCAGCATTTTTATACCTGCAGACACCACCTATCCGACAGTGCCAATCCATGGTTATAACAGCAGTTGTAACCAGGGTGGTAAGATACTGGTTTTCAGCCTTTCCACCTATGAGCTGGCATCCTTCCATGGCCCGGTGGGTGGAGATCTCTGGCCTACCATGAAGAGTCAATGAATCAGCTCTGTGAATCCCTAGCTATCATTTGTGGTGACAGTTCTTTTTTGTTTCACTGCTTTGTTTTCTTGTGGGGTGGTGAGGTGAGATCCACACTCTGCGGTGCTCTGGGCTTACTGTTGGCTCTGCGCTCAGGGATCACTCCTGGCAGAGGACCACATGGGGGCCGCATGTAGGACAAGCACCTTACCCTCTCTTCAGCCCTTAAACTGGCAGTTTTGATTACATCGTGCCTGGTCTTTGGTGATTTGATGATAGAACATCAGCCTTTTCATCCTCTCAACCTACATTTAAAGGTTGTTTCAGCTGTAACCTAAGCTTTTTCAGCCATATTCCATTTTTTTTTTAATTTTGTTACTGAATCACTGAGATAGACCTTTATAAAGCTCTTCATGATTAAGTTTCAGTCATACACTCCTCCCTCCACAAGCGTACATTTCGCAGGACCAGTGTCCCCAGTTTCCCTCTCAACACCCCCAACCCCCTGCCAGCCTACTTTTCAGTATCTGTATCGTGAGCCACAATGCCCAAAAGGAGAGTCAGCCATATTCTTACAATACACTAGGCCAACCGAACAACTCACTGTTAACAGAATGAGTTGAGATTTAGCAGGAAGTGTACAGGAACAAAAGCACTTGTAAAGGGCAAGAATCTGTGTGGCAGATGAGATGCTTTACTTTTTAAACCTAAGTAGTAATTCTGTTGATGTTGGAGAAGGTTTGGTTTTGTTTCGTTTTGGTGTTTTCGAGCCATACCTGGCAGTACTTAGTTGCTTCAGCAATGCTAGGGGGACCGTGCAATACTAGGTATGACCAGGTAAATCCAGACACCATCAATCCCGTATTGTCTCTCCAGCCCAGAAATGTTGTTTCTCATGCTTGTTTTATTCCTGTCAGATTAACTTGGCAGCTGGTCTGATATTGAATAATTGATCGTTCCTTTTTTTTTTTTTTCTTAAAGTGGGTACTTTAAAAATACTCCTGGGCTGGAGCGATAATACAGTGGATAGGGCATTTGCCTTGTCATGGCCGACCCAGGTTCGATCCCTGGAATCCTATATGGTCCTCTGAGCACTGCCAGGAGTAATTCCTGAATGCAGAGCAAGTAGTAGCCCCTGAACATGGCTGGGTATGACCCAAAAAGTGGTGCCGCCCCCCCCCCCCCAAAATTGTGGGGGGGGGGCTGGGGCGATAGCAGAGCGGGTAGGGTGTTTGCCTTGCACGCAGCTGACCAGGTTCGATTCCTTCGTTCCTCTCGCAGAGCCTGGCAAACTCCCCCATGGCGTATTCATTATGCCAAAAACAGTAACAAGTCTCGCAATAGAGATATTACTGGTGCCCGCTCAAGCAAATCGATGAGCAACAGGAAGACAGTGCTCTCTTATCTATATATATTCCTAATCATGAACCAAAGAGACAGTACAGGTACGGCACTTGCTGTGTATGTTACCAAACTGGTCTCTATATCCAAGTACCCCATGTGGGCCTCTGAGCACCACTGGGTATAGTCCAAAAACAATCCCTAAACTAAGTGAATTGTGTTTTGCTCAGTAAACTAGAATCTTGGTGTATTCTCATTTAGTATATTTGTATCTTGTTATGTAGAGTGGGTTTTTATTTTTTTAATTCATTTATTGAATCACCGTGGGAATAGTTACAAAACTTGCATGTTTGAGTCTCGGCAATACAATGATTAAACCCCCATCCTTTCACCAGTGCACATTTTCCACTGGCAAAAACCCCAGTAGACCCCCTATCCCAGCCCTACCCCTACCTGTGTGGCAGATAATTTTCATATTACTCTCTTTGATTACATTCAATATTTTGATACCAGTTCCACCATTATTATTTGGAATTTTCCCCTCTGTAAGGTTTTGTAGGTTAGTTATGTCAGTTTTTAGTTTTGACACTTTATGTGTAGTGCGAAGAAAGTGATGCGTTTGTTTTTTGTTTTGGGGCCATACTCAGCAGTACTTGGGGCTTACTCCTGGCTCTGCGCTCAGGGTTGATTTCTGGCAGGCTCAGGGGACCATATGGGCTACCAGGCATTGAACCCAGATCGGCCATGTGTGCAAGGCAAATACCCTACCTGCTGTGCTCTCTTCAGTCCCAGAAAGTGGTGCATTTGATGCTAATAAACTGTATTTCATGTTTTAGAAATTTATTTTTGGTGTGCTAGTAAATAGTACAGCTGAAGTGGAAATGGAAGGTTTCATATGTAAGTAGAGGGATCTGGTATAGTAGAAATGCCCTTCATAGGGAGTCAAGAGCTTCAAGATTACAGTCACTCTGCCATTGAACTAACTATATTCTTGACTATTCCATTATATTTAATCTTGTCAAAATAAGCAAGGTCAACTCGGTCAGTCACCGTCCAGCATCAGACTTTGTGATTCTGATCAACTCAGAAGTGTTTTTAAAAAAAGAATATAGGCATTATTTTGGTTTGTGATGCTTATAAAATTTTTTATATTTATTTTTTATTATTTATTTATTTGCTTTTAGGGTCTCACCCGGCGATGCACAGGGGTTACTCCTGGCTCATGCACTCAGGAATTACTCCTGGCGGTGCTCAGGGGACCATATGGGATGCTGGGAATCGAACCTGGGTTGGCCACGTGTAAGGCAAACGCCCTACCCTCTGTGCTATTGCTCCAGCCTCTTAAAAAATTGTAATGCCAACTCTTAGAAGTAGCATGTGTTTTTTCAATTTTGAAGTACCATTGTGGGTTTTAAGTAACAGGTGTGCTTCCACGGGACCTGTGCATAGAATTAATTCCTTCAGTGTAAGATTGAACTAGTAAATTTAAGAACCCACTGGTTTTCTCTTTTGTTTTGTTTGCTTTTGGCCTCACCGGTGGTGGTCCTGGCTTCCTTCGGGCTCTCTGCTTAGGGGTCATCCCTGACTGCTTAGGGGACCATGTGTGGTGCCGGTGACTGACTCAGCATGACAGCGTGCAGGACAAGCACCTCACTGGCCATTTCTCTGACCTTCTGATTGATAATAGACAAGATTTTCCCGGTGACTGTCAGCATTTTCAGTACTTTGATGGTGGGGCTCTATTTCTGTTGCGGAGTATTATGTAATCACTTTATTGAAAGACGCCAGGTATGAAATTTGAATAGCCTTAAATTATTTTCAATTCCTATATTTTTTTTCCCAAAGAATTTTAAAGTGGTGGGAGTGTGGTTCTTAATAAATATTACAAATCCAGCTGGCGGCGGACTAGGGGATTCCTTTGCCAGACTCTTTCTTTGTGTAGCCCTTTGACTAGGTAGTAATTGTCGTTTTTGTTTGCACAGACTCAGATCCAGTACCTCAAGCAAGTCCAGCAGCCCAGTGTTGCCCAACTGCGATCGACTATGGTGGACCCGGCGATCAACTTGTTTTTCCTAAAAATGAAAGGCGAACTGGAACAGACTAAAGACAAACTGGAACAAGCTCAAAATGAACTGAGTGCCTGGAAGTTTACGCCTGATAGGTAAACAATCATATCCCCAGTCAAGACTTCCCTGACAGTCCCACTGCGAGAACACTGTGGTGGGACAGCCGAGTACTCGTTTCCACACCAAGACTCAGACTTTTTGAGCCAAAAAGCCACATTCTTTACTGTCCGGCTTGTAATGGTTAATGTGCACTTACCAGATGAACCTTGTGTTTCAGCTCTTTCCTCTTCCCCCTCCCCTTGCTTCAGAGGCCTGATGGCGTCGGACTATTCCGAAGAAGTGGCCTCCTCCGAAATTCCCCTTCTAGAACATGTAGACACTTGAGAGAACAGTTTCTGTTTGAAGAAAATACAGGGAGAAACAGAAGTCTTAAGTCTGTGGCACACTGTGTCTTCAGACAGTTTGGAGGAATGAAAACCTAGAGATTTAAAATCCTGAATTGAACATGTAAAATTGCAGTAAAATGTAAAAACGGAAAATGCATCGCTCTTACTGTTGAGCATAGTGACTTAGAGACACTGCTTATCTGCTTTGCCGATAAGACTGTGGACTTCGTGCTTGTTGGTGGACTTCTGGGTCAAAACTCAATTGGGGTAAATTTTGCCTCTAAAGGTTTACTTGCTAAGAACTAACTTAACAGTCTTGAGAGAATCAAACAATAGATGTCAGTACAAATAGTTCATTTACTTAACCATCTCCTTTGGGGCTCTCTTACTTGATGGAGCCTTAAATCAATGTGGTTTTTAATCAATGGTTTGTTCTTTGAATGGTTGCGAAAACTGTAGATAATCATCGAGGACTGTACAAAATGAAGGTGTGGTATCAAATCAGGTTGAAACTGTTCGAAGCATTAAAAACATTCATTTCACAAGTAGATTGTATAAGGATATTGGCTGTGATGGGACTCACTGCTTTATTTTTCAGTAGTGGAATTGATTAATCCCCGTTCGTTCAACAGGCACATGTTGAAAGAGCGTTGTCGTTGGTGTTCATGGGGGAATGTGTTCCTTCATTGTATTTGGCCTTTTGTACTACACTTGATATTAAATTAAATGTGCCTTGAAATAGTTGTTTTTTTTTTAAGTTCAAGGAATACTATGATGATTTTGTTGTACTTTTAATCTTTTGGTTTGGGGGGCTGTGGAGAGCAGATTCATTTTGGAAAAATTGTTGCGTGCTCTTCAAGAGAAGGAAAAGGCTCTGTGTCTCATTTTTCAAAGACCGTTTTTTTTTCCAGCTGGTATAAAAGACAAGGACACTTGACACTTGTTACTTTTTGACACTATGTCCCAGGATATTGCAGTAGAAATTAATGTGGGACAGCTTCACTGGTGCCCGCTGAAGACGGGGAGTAGACTGAATCGGGACTGTGGGCTGGCCTCAGTGAGACATTTTGTATTTGAATTACAAACAAAGGTATAGTGATCATTTCTAGCAAATTCATTTGATCATTTAGATAAACGAGGCATTTTCTTCATGCTTCCATCCAGTCCTGGAGGTGAATTTTTTTCGTCAGACCATTCAGTAAGTCACCAATTTGAATTTTCGCTTGGTGATAATGGAGTCTAAGATGAGTGGAAGATAATGTTCCAGATTGTCCCAACGGTTAAGTGCAGTTTTAACAAGGGTGACTTAAGTTCTCTCTTAATCGTTCAAATCAATTGTAAGTATCTTGTACGTTTGTGCTTTAGGGAACTGATGTGGGGCCGAGGGTGGGTTGAAGAAGTGGTTTTTGTGACTTTCAACAAGATATTTGCTTCTAAAATTCTCAGTTTTGGGGTGTTGGAGGGTAAGTAATGAAGCCTTTTGCAAAGTCCTGAAATACTTTTATATGATGCCGTTTAAGATAGAAATGACCTATTTTTAGGTTTTAAAAAGGTTATAAAATGTATTAACACATACATCAGTTATATATAACCTCTTTGCCACTTAGGTGACCCCTGGAGGTCTGTGGGATGTTATTGTGGGATCTTTTAAATGTAAGATACTCGTTCATAAAATTGAAAGTCTGCAGGAATGATGGAAACAGGAAGTGGAGAGACGCCCTTGAGTGCTTTCTTGCGCTCTCCTCCCTGTCCAGGAGCAGTGAGTGCCATTCAACTTGGGTAGCGAGATCGTTTCTCTGCGCATAGAATCCGTGTTTATATGTATTGTTCTTTTTTTAAGAAATGTGATCATACCGTATGTACAGATACTTTCTAGGCTTTTGTCCCTTTTCCTTTGGATTTTCTCCTGCATGTAGATACATTTTGATGGTCAAAATTATTTCCACTGTATTAAAAGAATCATGACGTAATTAAATTTCGTTCTATTTTTAAAGAAAAAGAAAAGAAAGCTGTAGGGAGCCAGAGATAGTACAGAGGGTAGGTGCCTTTCACACAGCCAGCCCAGGTTCTATCTCTGGCACCCCACGTGGTCCCCTGAGCATGGCAGGGGATGGCCCAGAAACCAGAAGTAAGAGTATATCTGGCACTACAAATGCATCATTCAATTGAAACAGCTCGGTGACCTGGACTAAATCAGTGTGGGCCGCATTTTTTCATGTTGCTATTCTCAGTTTTGAGGGAGAAAGAGTCCCAGAGTTGCCCACTTTGTGTGACATGTGCATACATACATTTTAAAGGGTTTCAAGGTGTAAGAATCTGTTCTCCCCAGGTCTGGAACCGTAGTGCATTGGTGGGGTGCTTACCCTGCCTGTGGCTGCCCCGGGTTCGATGTCTGGCATCTCATACGGTTGTACCAGCCCACCAGGAATTGACCCCTGAGCACTGCCGGGTGTGCCCTCCCCCACCCCACCTCCCAAAGGAGAATCCGTCCTTTACCCCGGTAACAGCCTGATATGCTGTTCTTTAAAAAAAATTTTTTTGTCTTCTTTTTGGGGGAGGGGCCACACCTGGTGATGCTCAGGACTTAATCCTGGCAGGACTCAGAGGACTATTTGGAATCCCGGGGACCGAACCTGGGTGAAGGCAAGCACCTTACCCACTGGACCATCTCTTCAGCCCCGAGTAAATATCTTGGCCGGTTTTCTGTTGTAACTTTAAGGTTCTTGATTATTATTATTATTAAGAATTCTTTTAGGGGGCCCAAGCAACAGTACAGCGGAAGGGCGTTGCCTTGCACACGGCCAACCTGGGTTCCGTCCCTGGCGTCCCATATGGTCCCCTGAGCATTTCTGGGAGTGGTTTCTGAGCGCAGAGCCAGGAGTAATCTCTGAGCATCGCCAGGTGTGACCCAAACAAAACAAAAAGGAATTGTTTTAGGGATCAGAGAGATGGCACAGTGACTAAGATGCGTTGCATGCTGCTCTCTTGGACTTGATCCCCTGCACTGTGTATGGGCCATGAGTAAGCCCTTTGTACCACCAGGTGTGGCCCCAGGACCTACAAATATAATTAATTGATTTTACAAAGACATTACTTAAATTACCTGCCTCCCCCCCCCGCCCCAGTTTTTATGGTCATGCCTGGTGGTGGTGGTCTACTCAGTTGGGGTGTGGGGGGGGGTGTTGGTGTTTTTGTTTCTGGGCCACACCTGGCACTGTTCAGGACCTATTCCTGGCTCTGCAGTCGGGAGTCACTCCTGGCGGGTTCTGGGACTGTTTTGGGTACCAGGGTGGAACCTATGTCTGCCTTGTGCAGGGTAAGCGCCCTGCTGCCTATTGCTCCAGCCCTGATTCTCAGGTTGATTTTTATGTTTGTTTTAGGTTTTTTTTTTTTTGGTCACACCCAGGGGTTACTCCTGGCTCATGCATTCAGGAATCACTCCTGGCGGTGCTCGGGGGACCATATGGGATGCTGGGAATCGAACCTGTGTCGGCCATGTTGGCTGTGTGCAAGGCAAATGCCCTACCTGCTGTGCTACCGCTCCAGCCCCTGTTTTAGGTTTTTGAGCCACCCCCAACAATGCTCAGGGAATCACGTTAGATGCCAGGGATTGAACCTGGGTCAGCCTTGTGCGTGACAAGCTCCTGTCCACTGTGCTTGCTCTTGCCCCAGTTTTTTGGTATGACGAACACAGCACAAGCTTGATGCGTCATTACAAGTCTCCGAAACAATGGGGTTCTCCTAGGACAGGTGCTTAGGCAAAAGGCCATGACCTTCTGGAGGATTGTGCAGAGGGTTGGGCACTCCCTTGCACACTTCTGACCTAGGTTTGGTCCCTAGTGCAGAGCAAGGAGTAAGACCTGAGCATTGCTGAGTGTGGCCCCAAATCATCATTGTTTTAGTCATGCCTCTGATGTATCGGATTCCCATAAGAGTTTTTTCAGGTTAGTTGATCAACACCAGTACTTTATCATTTGTAAGAAAACATTATTGGGGGAAATAGTAAAAAGAGACGAGAGTTAGTACCAAGGTTAAGACACTTGCTTTGCATGCATGTTTGATCCTTGCTACCACATACGGGTCTTAACTCTTAGTGGAGACTGAAGTCAGAGGGTACTAACTTGCAAGGGACTGTCTTGCAATCACAGTACCGATAACTGTGATGGTAGAATTGCCAGCTTAGTAGTCGCCATATAAAGACACACTGGTCCAGGCATGAGTTCAGTGGAGGGGTCCATGCTGACGTGTGAGACTGTGGCTTGATTTCTGCCTCCAGAAGGCTAAGCCTTCCCCGGTAGTAACTCGAGGCTGTGGTGAAACCCTGGCTCCTTTGAGCGGTGGTAAGCCAGGTTTTACTCTACCACAGACTAGGATAGCCACATATAGCTCAATGGGCGGGGATGCATAGCGCCTGAGTTCCATCCCTGGTGCCACATATGATCCCCCAAGAATGACTGCTGAGCCAGGAATAACCCTTGAGCACACACAGCTGGGTGTTGTCTAGTCCCCAATCCCCCCAAAAGCCCCACTAAGTGAAAGAATGAAATTCCATTTCCGTAGTTGTCCTGTTTCAAAAGATCTAAAGGGGCTTTAGATCTGAAGGATATATTTCTTGGGTTCTGGAGCAGTAGTACAGCAGGGAGGGCATTTATTTGCCTTGCACGCAGCAGACCTGGGTTCGATCTCCGGTATCCCATAGGGTCCCCTGAGCACCACCAGAAGTAATTCCTAAATTGACTCAGAATTAACCTCTGAGCATCACCAGATGTGCCCCAGCCTCCCCCTCCCTGGGGGTCAGAGTGATAATGCAGGGGGTAGGACTCTTGCCTTGCACATAGCCAACCCCAGTTCGATCCCAGCATCCAATAGCGTACCCCAATCATCGCCAGGAGTAATCATCGCCAGGAGTAAGACAGCATTGCTGGGTGTGACCCCAAATCCTCCCACACACACAATTTTTCTCCTGTTAAGAAGGTATGTTTCTTGGGGCTGGAGCGATAGCACAGCGGGTAGGGCGTTTGCCTTGCACGCGGCCAACCTGGGTTCAATTCCCAGCATCCCATATGGTCCCCTGAGCACCGCCAGGAGTAATTCCTGAGTGCAGAGCCAGGAATAACCCCTGTGCATTGCCAGGTGTGACCCAAAAAGAAAAAAAAAATTTAAAAAAGAAGGTATGTTTCTTGCATGTGATACCTTGGTTGTATTCCTAGTACTGTGATTGGGCAGAGTTTAAATCAAGTGCATTCTGGGACCAAGTGCGACCTCCAAAAACAGTGTTAGCAAAACCTTTTTGTTTATTTTTGTTTGAGGGCGACACCCCAGGATGCTTAGGAGTTATAACTCCTGGTGGTGCTCAGGGGAAGATGTGGTGGTGGGGATGAAACCCAGGTCATGCATGCAAGGCAAACATTCTACCCACTGTACCATCTTTTTGGCCACTAAGCATCTTTCAGCCAATAAGATCCTTGTGAACTTCAAGAATCACAGTGCACGCCTCACTCTATAGTGCCAGGAGTGATCCTTGAGAGAAAAAAAAAAGCGTGGTTTCTTTCCTGTTATTGTGCTGAGGCTAAAGAAAAAGGGATAAAGTTTTGGGTTTCGGGGAATGGCTTTTTTGTTTGTTTTATGAGTAAGCCCTAGCTCTGTGCCCAGGGATTAACACTTTGCCCCCAAAATTTTTGCTGGTTTTATTGTTGTTCATCTGGGCTTTGGATTATATATTAACAATTTATCTCAGTATGTGTATACTCTTTATTTATGCACACACATGTGTGTACATAAGTTTGGGAGGAGAGTGTTTGGCCACCGGCACTTCCTGGCTCTATGCTTCAGGATCAGTCCTGTGCGCGCTCAGTTCCCATGTGTGGTCACGTGGAAGGCTGCAGTTTAACCCCGTACTAGCTCCAGTATTATTTGACACTGTTTCAATAGCCTTCCCCCCCCCTTTGGCTTTTTGAGTCACCTGGCAATGCTCAGGGGTTACTCCTTGGCTCATGCACTCAGGAATTACTCCTAGCGGTGCTCGGAGGACCATATGGGATGCTGGGGATCGAACCCGGGTCGGCTGCATGCAAGGCAAACGCTCTACCCGCTGTGCTATTGTTCCAGCCCCGGTTTCAATAACCTTTAGGTCTTACATTATTTTTATAAATTACCTAGTCTTAATCCCTTCAACGGCCAAGACTCAGAAACTATAAAAACCAGCTCCCGGAACCAGCTCCCGGACATCTTATTATGACATCTTATTATCTCATTCCTGCTTTGGACAAACTTGCAGGCTATCGAATGTAGCCTGCCCACACGGCAGAGTCTGGCAAACTCCCCGTGGCGTACCCAATATGCCAAATACCAGTAACAATGATGGTTCTCATTCTCCTAAAGAGCCTTGAATATAATCTCAGGGCTAGGATGAAGGAGACGTTACTGGGGCCTGCTCGAGGCAATCGACGAATAACAGGATGATTTGTGATTTGTGATTGTGACCTAGTCTTATTTTTTTATCCTAAGAATAATCTTTTCTAAATTCTTAGCCTCGTATTTTTTTTTGGCCAGTCACACCCTCGGGGTCTACTCCCAGCTCTGTGCTTGGAGGTCACTTTTGACCATGCATGGACCAGAGAGAATCATGCGGCAGGGTGGGTGTTTGCGTTGCACGCAGCTAACCCCGGTATCAGCCTCCACCCTCAGCATCGCTGGCTGCGGCTCCCTCTTCCACCCCCGAAATAATTGACCATGCAGTGCTGGGAAATGAAACCAGGGACAGCCATGTGCAGGCCAAGCTCCTTAACTAAGCCTGTGCTATCTGTCTAGCACCCAGAAGTTTAATGTTTTTGATTTGTGGCCACACCTGGTGCTGCTCAGGGACTCTTCCTGTCTGTGCTCAGGAGTGACCTCTGGTGGTTGTTTTGGGTTTTTTGTTGTTGTTGTTGGGTTTTTTTTTTTCTTTTTTTTTAGGTTACAGCCGGCAATGCACAGGGGTCACTCCTGGCTCTGCACTCAGGAATTATCCCTGGAGGTGCTCAGGGGACCATATGGGATGCTGGGAATCAAACCTGGTTGGCTGCGTGCAAGGCAAACACCCTCCCCGCTGTGCTATACTCCAGCCCCACCCCACTCTGGTGGTTCTTGAACCATATTTGTTCCAGGGATTTGAACCAGGGTCTGCGGGATGGAAGGCAAGTGCCTTAACCCCTGTATGATCTTTCTGGACCAAACCCCTAAATTGTTATTATTCTCTAGGATGTTAAAATAGTTTTTAAATTGATGGTATTTACGTGCAAAATTATTGGACCCCATTACCACGAAAGTTCCCACAACCCTCTCTTTCAATTGGCCTTCCCCTTCCCCTTTTTTAAATACTTGTCCTAATTCAGCCAGTGCCAAATCCAGAATAGATCACCATGAAGTTTGTATTTGCAATTAATACTACATTTGACTTCACAGAGACTTCTGTTCCCTTAAGGCTATATGCCTTAGTATTTTATTGATGTTGGTATATCTGAGGTGTGTTAATTAACTGACTTTTACTACAAATAGTATGCATGAATATATATTTTAGAATCGTTATTAGTGTAATAGGGAGGGAGATGGCCATTTGGTTATTTTTTTGTTTAGGATTTATGTTTCTCCTATGTTGGTGAAAGACTGAAATGCAGAAGGAAGACTACGTGTTCCGGGAAAGAAGATAGGAATTCTAGGGTGCTATCTTCTGTGAGATAGTTGCATTGCGTGTGTTCATTTCTGTCACTGTAATAACCGCAGCATAACGCTGGTAGGGAATTTTGTCTTCACTTTGTGATGAGTGGCTCTTTCCTTTGCAGCCAAACGGGCAAAAAGTTAATGGCGAAGTGCCGAATGCTTATCCAGGAGAACCAGGAGCTTGGAAGGCAGCTGTCCCAGGGACGTATTGCACAACTTGAAGCAGAGTTGGCTTTACAGAAGAAATATAGTGAGGAGCTAAAAAGCAGTCAGGATGGTAAGGGGTCTTCTGGAAAGTCGGTTAACCTTGCGCTGGCTTTAACGTGCCAGGCGTGATGCTAGAGATGAGATTCCGTACATGCTAATCGCTGCCAGTTGTTCCATAAAATCAGTGTTTCTAGTTGTCAATCCCGGTTCTAATAATTTGCTGTGTAGATTTTTTTAGTCTTGTTTTGTTTTCCCCTCCCCCCGCCCCACCCCCAGTGCGGAATTTGGTGAACTGAGAAAGGCCGGGGGCTGCAGCGGTAACCCAGTGGGCTCATGAAGGAAGTGGGGTTCAGTCACCGGCACCCCGCCACCAGGATCTACCCTCGAAACTCCCAGCACAGTGCCATCCAACCACCCCCCCACCCCCACCCCCCCAGGCTGTCTTGGCATTATGGAATTTGTAGAACTACAAATTCAAGCCTTCAAAGTATTTGGGCCATTTCCAGCAGTTTAAAAATAGAATTAAAGATAGTACAGTGCATAAGGCACTTGCCATTCCGGCAGCCAACCGGGGTTCAATCCCTGCCACCCCAGATGGTTCCACAAGCACTACCATAAAAGATTCTTGACCGCACAGTCAGGAGTAAGACCTCTGGGACACTGGTGTGACCCCAAAACAACTAAAAATCAAAGGTTAAGGCATTTGTCCTGCATGCAGGCAGCCCTCGTCCCTCCCCTGTACTACCCTGTCTCCTGAGCACTGCCAGAGTGACCCTCAAGACTGCAGGTGTGTCCCTCCCCCCCAGTGAAGATAATGTGTGTATAAATGTACATGGTTGGACAGGCAGAGTAAGGGCCTATTCAGTGAATAAGAGAAACATTTAAATTTTTGGAAGAACTTTTACCAGCTACCGTCCACCTGGGGCTAATTGTGACCGCATCAGAGCTGTTTGTAGGAAACATCTGGTCAAAATGGGGGTTGAGTGGGGGGAGGGAACGGGCCTGGGAAGGCACCTCAGAGGGCTGAGAGCGTGCTGCAATCTTGAGCTTGGTCCCTAATTGCCCTTACCCCAAGTGCTGTTGGGTGTGACACCAAACTCAACAAAATATTTTTTGAGAATGTCTGTAGTTGAAAATTAAATTACAGATCTCGGTAAATCAATCGTCCTCTCCCCACCATCCCACCCACCCCACCCTTTTTTTAAAAGTAGATCTCTTAAAATACCTTTTCAGGGCTGAAAAGATAGAGTCCAGAGGTTTGGCGCGTGCCTTGAGCATGGCCAGCTCTGGTTTGTGCCCGAGCTCAGTTCTTGGCACTGCCCAGAGCCAAGAGAGCGCCCCGAGCAGGCTGCTGTGGCCTGCCAAACAGAAAGAAGTGAAGGGTGTGTCTTTCCAGGAGCAGGGCGTGTGGCTTTGTGTAGATCTATCTTTCCCTCCCTCTCTCTCGCTCTTCTCTCTCACCTGCTCTGGACTTAACTCCTGGCTCTGCACTCAGGAATCCGCCTTGCAGCGTCCTTTCTGGGCCTGAGAGCCCTGGTTTCAGTACCCAGCGCTGCCACATACGTGAAAACACGAAACAAAAACTACCTCCTGCACATGCGGGAAGTCCTTGCCTTTTCATAAGCACTGTAGGTATTTTGAGATCTCCAGTCGTCTGGCCCCTAAAGGCTTTTTCCAACTTAGTGTGTGTATTTCCCAATTTTTAACCATTCTCACGTTTTCAAATGAGAGCCACAGCTGGCGGGGCGGAGTTGTGCTTTGGTCCCCCGGAGCTCTCCTTGCAGTAGTTGGTCTGCAGCGTTGGGCTCAAACTGAAGACGAGTGTGTGCTCGAGATCTCCCGCGTGGTGTTCCAGCTCTCGAGATACTTTCCTGACCGCAGCTCCTCCTCGATGCCTGCAGAGCCCTCTGTGGGTTGTTTGTTAGAGGGGAACCCTCAGTGTTCTGAGACTAAGCTGGCTCGCCAGGTGAAGGGCCAGCCCTGTGCCTCCAGGGAGCTGAGCGCGTGGCTTTTGTGGGCTTGTTTAGTTGTGCCTTTTCAGATGGCCCAGTTCATTCCTTTTGCACATTGATCTGTTTGGGGGCCAACGCCTGGCGGTATGCACGGTCACTGCCGCCAGTGCGGGGGTACTTTGCAGGGGCAGGGATCGAACTCCACGGGCATCCCTCATGCAAAGCCTTCTTGGCATGTGCTCAGCGCATTGCTCTGTTTCAGCCCCTCACATTTTAATCTGCCGTCAGCCAGAAGAAAACCTCAATTTGGGACCTTATTTTCTTGGTTTTGGAGTCACACCAGGTGTTACATATGGGTTTCTCCTGGTGCATTGCTCATTGCTTGATGTTTGCACCTGTACTTGCTGCAGACAAAGCCTGTGCACCCTCTGTCTCCTCACCCTATCGCTTTTTGTTTTTTCTTTTTGGGTCACACCCGGCGATGCTCAGGGGTTACTCCTGGCTCTGCACTTAGGAATCACTCCTGGCGGTGCTCAGGGGACCACATGGGATGCTGGAAATTGATCCCGGGTGGGCTGTGTGCAAGGCAAATGCCCTGTCCGCTGTGCTATTGCTCCAGCCCCAGCAACTTTTTTTTTTTCAGGGTGGGCTATACCTGGCAGAACTCAAGTCATTCCTGATGGTGCTGGAGAAAAGTTTTAAGTGCCAGGAATATTAAGAACCAGTGAAATAATTCTCCTCTCTCTCTCTCTCTCTCTCTCTCTCTCTCTCTCTCTCTCTCTCTCCTCTCTCTCTCTCCCCCTCTCTCTCCCTCTCCCCCTCTCCCTCTCTCCCCCCTTCACCTCTCTCCTCTCCTCCCCTCTCTCTCTTCCCCCTTCTCCTCTCTCCTCTCTTTCTCTCCTCCTCTCTCTCTCTCTCTCCCCCCCACCCCCACCCCCTTTTAAATGCCATTCAGACCATTCTGTCGTGTTTTGAGAACCTTTAGTGGAATGTCTGGTTTTCTGATAGTCACTAAGAAGTCCACTGTGTCTTATGAGATATTGAAGCAGATTTGACTCTCCTTTGTGCAGAACTGAATGACTTCATCATCCAGCTGGACGAAGAAGTCGAGGGTATGCAGAGCACCATTCTAGTCCTACAGCAGCAGCTGAAGGAGACGCGGCAGCAGTTGGCTCAGTACCAACAGCAGCAGTCCCAAGCCTCCGCCCCGAGCACCAGCAGGACTACAGCCTCTGAGCCCGGGGCACAGGCGGAGGCCGCAGGTAAAGACTGCAGTCGGCTGGCCAATGGACCAAGCAATGGCAGCTCCTCCCGCCAGAGGACGTCTGGGTCTGGATTTCACAGGGAGGGGGACACGGCCGAAGATGCTTCTCCTCCTTCTCCAGGGAATGGGAATAAGGCCTCCAACAGCTCTGAGGAGAGAACTGGCAGAGGTAGTGGTTACGTAAACCCACTCAGTGCGGGGTATGAAAGTGTAGACTCTCCCACGGGCAGTGAAAACTCTCTCACACACCACTCAAATGACACAGACTCCAATCATGACCCTCAAGAGGAGAAAACAGTGAGTGGGAAAGGTAACCGAACTGCGGGTTCCCGCCACGTCCAGAATGGCTTGGACTCAAACGTAAATGTACAGGGTTCAGTTTTGTAATATTTTTTCCAGCAAATTTTTATACAGTGTCATTTAATTTGGGAGAGGATACTGTCCAGAAATTTAATGCATACTTTGGTCACAATTTGCCTCTTCTGTGGGTGTTTTCTTTTTCTTCCTTTTTCCCCTTCTTTTGCTTCTATACCTCTGCCACTTTGGGAATTGTAACAGTTAATGCTTCGTTGCTTCAAGGGACACTTTGTGTAGGCTCAAGTTATTTTTATATGAGTTAATGTGAAGTTGTAAATGGAACTCTCTGCTTCCAGCATAACACAATGATGTCTGTGTAAATCTGTGTCTATCTAGGCCCCGTGCTGTGTGAGGGCACCTTCCTCCGCTCTCCTTCGCCCCGCACCGTCCAGGACTGTCATAGGTGGGAGGTCACGACTGCCAAGTTGGCCCAGTACAGTCGTTCTATCGCCAAGAGTGGGACTTGCTGACAGAGTCCTGTGGTAGTTTCAGTGTTAGATACAGTTTTTCCCACCATTCATCTGTGCATTTTCTCTTTAGGTGACTGTTGAAGAAATGTGTGTGCGTAGTTAACTCCGTTTATGACCTGTTGTAGCTGTTAATGCACATTGCTCTGTGACTCTAGTAGATCTCGCCTGTACTGACCAAACCGAAATAAAGATTTTTATTGTAACTCCTGCATCAATCTGTGTGTCTCGCAGTTGTCATTTACCCACGTGGTATTGCTGAAGTTTTGCTCGTTTGTTTCTCAACACACCGTGAACGTGAAAATCTTCAATCCACGCGTCATTTTTTATTGTGATTTTATAGTGTTGCCAGTTATACATTATTTGTAAAGTGGACTTGGAGTTTAGGGTTACGGCTTTATATATAGAATGATCATACAGAAGTTGGAAGAAGAGGCAGGAGAGCGGGCTGCAGTGAGAGCGCAGTGGGAGGACGCAGGCCTGCACAGAGACGACCAGGGTTCCAGCTCCAGCTCCTCGTCAGGGGCGATCCCTGAGTGAGAACTAGGAGTAAGCTCCGGTACTGCCAGGTGTAGCCCAAATCCCAAAAAAATCTGGGGGGAGGCGGGCGGATGAGGGTGCTGGAGAGATCGGACAGCGGGTAGGGCACTTCCCTTGCATGTGGACAACCTGGATTTGATCCTGGCACCACAGATTGTCCCCAAACCCTGCTAGAAATTATTCCTGAGCACAGAGCCCAGAGTATGCCCTGGATCCTGGGTGTCACCCAAAAAACACATCCGCTGCTGGGTCCAGAGAGATAGTACAGTAGGAAGGCACTTGCCCTACGCTTAGGTCCCCAGCATCACACGGTCGCCCAGGCACAGCCAGGAGTAAGCCCTGAGCACCTCTGGATGTGGCCCCAAAGGAAAAACACCCACTGCTACTAATGACGTGTCTGCTAATCTTGGCTAGTAAGCAGGGAGGTATTAGGATGGAAGAAAAATTGTTTTACGTTTAGGAACAAAATTGC